TCTTCTTACAGAATACATGAAGATCATTGCTATTTTCTACTACCCGCTCCTGTACTATCCCCTGCTGGTGTGCGGCACCCTGCAGCTCAAAGCGGGCTACGTGTTCGGGACCCTGCTGTCCTTCACCCACTTTGGGGTCCTGGTGTGGCAGAAGTTCGACTGTCCCAAGACTCCCGAGGTGAGGCACCAGCCCAGAGCACTGACGGGGCTGATAAAAGCGCAGTTTTGTTCAGATTTAAAGGGGAAAATGAACTGTCTGAACCCCCCAGCAGGTAAAGGGTGAGAGGGCTACGTCTGGAATACACCATTAAAGCCGCCATTTTGGATCCTAGAGCAGGTTTTTAAAATGGGAAAGCGTTCATGTGGCAGAGCCCTGTCGTTATTTTTTCCTAATTTCTGAATAGATAACTTTCTAATCATAAGAGATAATACAAATTTGATCACTGCAAATAGTTTATGAGACATTTCTGATCTTCTTGATTAGCCACATGACCACCTTCGCATTGGGAAAACTCACTCCTCATCCAAAATGGCTGCTTTCAAGAAATGGAAAATGGGCCTTTGCAGTCACACTCAGATCCTGATGTGACTTTATATATTTATATATGTGTGTATATAAATCTAGCTATTTATATACAGGAATATATATGTGTATATATATATATATATATATATTGTATATGGGAAACAGCACTGTTGAGTTTATCCATAATACTTAGGAGATAATTAACCAGAATTAATCCAGACTAAAACCTAAAACAGTTCAGAATGTGTTTTAAAACATGCGTTTCTCTTGAATCCCCACAGATCTATAAGTACTACGCCCTGCTAGCCAGCCTGCCCCAGCTGGCCTGCCTGGCCTACCTCTGCGTGCAGTTTCCCGTGCTCTTCATCAAAGGGCCGAAGGCCGACGAGGTAAAAACACCGAGTTCCCCGTGTTCTCCAGCCCTAAACGTGCAGCCAGCATCATGTAAAGTAGCTTTAGCTATTTCCGGCGCAGCTGAAATAAACAGAGAGAATTTCAAGCATGCAAAACGTAAACATGATTACAGAAAGAGGCTTGTTTTTGGGTTTAACTCGGCTCTGTGGAGCAGATTATGACGAGAGGGCTCTGAGCTCACAGTGGGACTTTTGTTATTTCTGCTTCCTCATTAATCAGTTAAAAAAAAAGCAGTTTTTCCTGTTCATTTAGTGACATTCTTAAAAAGGACGTGCATTGTGCATTTTCTCTTTGGTGATGTCTCATCATGTTTTTGCTCACAGGACCTTGACAGCAGCTACTACAACAACTATGTGAAATCCCTTCTTAAAAGAAAGTCCTTGTCCACCAGGTGAGTGCAGATTAAACATGAATTGGGCCCATTAAACAGAAAATGTGCCAATATAGGTATTTTAAAGTTCAGAATAGGTGTTGTGTGTGAGGTTTCATGCCTTTAATTTAAGTTTGTTTCAGTGTTTAAGTGTATTTTACCTTCATTTTATCCACAAGAAAAGTAGATTCAGTGCTTTCCATCATTCTTTAAAACCTTAAGATACTCTTCTAGACACAAATAAGAAATGACAAGAAAACAGACAATGTAAGTGGTAAAGAAATAGACGAAAAAACAGAAAATGGAAATGATATTTATCTGTCTGTGGATTTAGTTGTTTATATTATAACTCCAAATCTTTGGTTCTGTGTGCGAGTGAATGTTTTCAGTATTTATCTGGCAATTAAAGGCTGAAACCAACCCTTTTTTTCAAATACTAGCAGAGACTTTATCTAATATATGATTCCACAGAAAATTACAGAAAACTTTAAGTCAATCTACAACCAAAACCACATTAATTGGCTAATTCTACATATACAGTACTCAATCGAGTAGTTTTGGTTCATACCTCCTGAAGTGGGAAATATGTTGGCTTAATTTTAAGCTTTTTCATGCTTTAAAATGCTTTATGAAAACACGATCCATGACTTTTACCCTTATTAAAGAACATGTCAAGTCATTGGAAAATATTCTCTATCAAACCAGAAGAAATAGCTTAAATGGTCCAACCTTAGAGGGTGACACCCCAAAAACAAGACTTTTGACCCTCAAAGGTGCAATCAGCATTCAGAAACAGCATGATTTCCCCAGCCTAAGATGTCATTTCCCCATAATTTCTGTTTTATGTGCTTCAGTTCGGATTTAGACAAGCCATCTCTGGCAAAGAGAATCCTGGAGGTGGCCAAAGGTTACATCTACACACCCGAAAAAGGTCAGTTTCGCCCCGTTAAACCGGACAGAAACACCTGCTGCTCCCTGCTTTTTTTTTAACAATCTTCTCGCCTCTCAGTGTTCCGTTTCCCGCTCAAGCTGGCGGTGTCGTCCTTCATCACGGGCGTGGCCATCTATCAGGTAAGCCAGGGGGGTGCAGCTTCTCGGTCCTGGACGGCCGTGAGGGTCTGACCTGGGGCTGGTTTCCGGGCCTCAGGCCGCCCTGCTGCTGGTGGTCCTGGTGGTGCCCACCCTGCACATCGTCCGGGCGGGTATAGACGAGAACATCGCCTTCCTGCTGCTGGGCTTCGGCATCGTGCTGTCAGACGACCGCATGGAGGTGGTCCGCATCGTGACGTTCTACACCTGGCTGCTGGAAGGTGCGCTGGTCATTTGATTTTAATGTGTCTGAACTCGACCTGAAGATGCAATCTGAGATATATTCCTTTGTGTTTCATCTCAGTGTGCTACCTCTGTGCCATGACCCTGTCCTGTCTGGTCAGTATTTTCATGCTCATGAGGTCCATGGTTCTGCACAGGTAGGTGCAAAGTAGAACTAGAGAAATACTTTTTTCATAATTTCAGATTGAATATAATTTTTTTAATAGAACAAACAGGTAAAGTTTTGATTCTCCTCTCTCAGTTTTTGGTCTTAATATTTCACTTCAAGTTTGATTTTTCTTACATTTTGTTCCCTTAAAGTAGAAACCTCTGAACACAGTGGGGGGTGTGCAAGAAATTAGACTGGATTGAGATTCATGCATAAAATTAGAATAAAAAGGAACTATATAAACTAAACTTTAAACAACAACAAAATTGAAAAGAAAGATCCTTAAGACAAGGAGAAAGACCCCAAAAATCACAGAAAAACGCATAGGTATAGATGGGCATCGAGCGGATGGACGGAAAACAAACAAGAATCTGACAAACCATAACTGAACACAGGAAATGGAGAATAGAAACCGCAATAACACAGGAAGTTTGAACTGGAAATAAGAGGCAGAATTTTTTTTTTTAAAACAATAGAAAATCAAACTGGAAACAGAAAAAAATTAAGAATAATGTCCACAAAGAGCTCATGGCTCTGTGTAAAAAGCCCCATAACTAAATGGATGAGCCAGTGCTGCATCAGCACATTACAGATAAGTTTTGACAATACATTTCTTTATCTACAGCAAAAAAAATAGTCAAAGATCTCACTGAGAAGATAATAAAGAACTCATCCATCAAAGATTGATGCACCTATTTCACATTTTCCTGGCAAAACTTAAAGAAACGAGGCTAACATACTCAGAAAATGTCCTTCTCTATTTAATTTGTGACTTAGATGTTAGACAGGAAGGATGTGGAGTTTGAGATGGAGCGTCTGATTTTGTTTCAGGTCGAACCTGAGGGGACTGTACAAGGGCGACGTTTACAGCATCTATAAGAGCCAGAAGACCATCCGGCCCTCTAAAGTCGGGGTGGTCTGCTGGATGGGGCTCACGGGGTACCAGGCTGCCATCGTCTGCCTCGGTAACGCTGAACGGAAAACCTACAAGTGTTTATGTTTATGCTTTTAGACGCTTTTATCCAAAGCAATTACAAAGTAGACACAATTTTACAGTTATCATCAATATGAAAATATGTTCTCTAGAGGAAAATCCCCAGCAAATCAGATAGTGTTGTTCCAAGAACACCAAAACCAGCCTCAAATGACTAAGTCTTTAAAATTATATGACGAGAAAAGATTATGATGTTAAATGACATAATTCTGCAGGTTTGTAAGAAAATGACAAAAATAGAATTTTGTTTTATTTTTTATTATTGCTAAATGTGTTTGATCTGTTGTGAGGAGGTTTTGGGGCTATTTTGAGCAGCTTCTAGCTGCAGCCTCTAGGAGCCTCGGCTGGATATCCAACTCTTCCCACATCCAAGTCGGCCATTTTGATTTGGTCATGTGACTAGCAGCTTTCTGAGGTGGAAAAGAAACTTTACTGTCTATACGAAATCGGAAGACAAACGATATCCTAACCCTAACCCTAACCCTGACCCTAACCCTAACCCTGACCCTAACCCTAACCCTAACCCTAACCCTAACACTAACACTAACACTAACATTAATCCTGACCCTAACCCTGACCCTAACCCTAACCCTGACCCTAACCTAACCTAACCTTAACCCTAACCCTAACCCTAACCCTAACTCTAACCCTGACCCTGACCCTTACCCTAACGCTAACCCTAAATCCTTCATAATTGTGAGAAATGAATATTTTTTGGTTAAACTTGTTTGAACTTATTGTACAAACCTATTTAACATCCACTATTTTAACATAATATTATGGATAGAGTTTAATTCAGTGTTTGCAACATTCATTTGGCTATTTTTAAATTAATGTCTATATTGCCATGAAGCAATTAGGATTTTCTTGCCTGGGATCTTCCTGTTGGTGACCTAATCAAAATGGCCGACTTGGATGTGGGCAGGGTTTGATATCCATCCTTGGCTTCCTGCAGTCTGCAGCCAGACGAACTCGGCTATTTTAGATGCATAAGAGAATGAAAAAAAACATCAAACCGAGCTGGATTGTAAGGTTGATCCTCTGTCCGGGCAGGAATGGCCATCCAGACGCTGGTGTTCTTCATCTGCTTCCTGTTCCTGGTGTTTCTCATCATCATCCCCGTGTTTCACGGCCGGAACATCGTCGTGTTTGAGGTTGCAGGAAAGGCTTGGTGCGTCGGTGATCCCGTGCATGTGGCTTTTTTTCCCCTGTTTCCTGGTCTGTGCTTGAACAAACCCTTCGTCCATGTCCCAGGCCTGTGTGGGTCACCCTCCTGCTGGTGACCGCCCTCCAGCACCTGACGGCAAAGTTTCTTTTCATAAAGAACGAGGCCGGGACCAGAGATTTAAAGAACAGGTACGCTGGGGTGTCCCAAATCCTTTATTAGAACAAAGTAAAGACTAAAGAGGTCTTTATACATTTTAGATGGCTTGCTGTTTAGTATAAGACGTAAAACAACACATTTTTAGTTGATTTTGGGTTGAATGTATTTTGAAAACACCTCATTAATTGAATCATGCTTATTTTTTATAGTTTTTTTTGTGTCCATTTAACAAATAAACGTGAAAGGAAATTGACTTGGTGATAGAACATATTGAGAACAATATTTCAACTGCTTTCTTTTGCTCCTTTATGCAGGATCATCCTTACTTTTTATTTTTATTTTTTGACCTTGTGTGCAAGCAAGATTGTTTCAAATCAAAAACCATCTTTAAAAAGGCTTTAGAGATTTTTTTAGCTGTTTTCTGAAAGGGATTTACTCCCCTTGCCGATGGTCTTCACCTCATTGGAGGGACACATTTAAGGCATCCTCAGGAATTAGAAGCAGCTTCACAGCTGGAAAATAGTTTTCAGTATATTAAAGTTATCGATTAATGACTTATTTTGGATATTTAAAATGACCCCACCCTCTCACTCAGACACAGTTGGGATAGGCGTGAAAAAACCAAATCCCACTTTGGAAAAAGCGAGAATAAAAAATAGATGGGTGGATTCTAAGTTTTGGTCCTAAGAGGTCCTACAGCAGCATGTGTGGGTGGAAACTGACTAAAGCGACCAGTGTCTGAATCTTTTTGGGGGAGTTTGAGGAGATCAGTATTGTGTTTTTAGGCAGGAAGACGGTTTTGTCATTGGACTCTGCAGGTTTTAGCTCTTACGAGTTGAAGGTTTCTATGGTTTCTGAAACGTTTTTCTGGGCCTTTCAGAGAGAGTCTGTTCCTGCTGACCTACCTGCTGTTCGTGGTCAACATTGTGGTGGGGCTGGTGGTGGCCATATGGAGGATGGTGATAACCGCCTTGTTCAACATCATCCACCTGGGCCGTGTGGACATCAGCCTCCTGCACCGCACGGCAGAGTTCTACGACCCGGGTAAGGTGGCTCAGGGACTCGGGAACGAGGCGCGCGAGGCGTTCGCTGACGTCCCTCCGCCTCTTCCAGCCTACAGCTACTACGCCAGCTTCCTGAAGGTGGAGGTCAGCCAGTCGCACCCGGTGCTGAAGGCCTTCTGCGGGCTGCTGCTGGACGCCATGGTGGAGGGCGGAAGGGCCGGGCAGAAAATACGAGATGCGGAGGAAGGTACTGATGACGGTTCCCGGTTTGAGTCCCAGCTAGGGACTGTGGCGTCCCCCCCACAGCCAACATTTAGCTAACTGTGACTATGAATGAACCCCTAAAAGTCCCAGTTCATGTTTGACTCTGCAAACGACTCACAAACAACCCTTTGGCTCCTCCAGTGACAAATGGGGGAGGGCTTATTCAGCTGGTTTAGAAAAAGGATGGAAGGGGTATATTCCAATGACCCATAGTCAAACTATCCACGGGATCAGTGTTTCATCAGTATTAACGAACGGGTCTTGGAAAACCGTCCCATTTATTTGAGGCAGGGGGCAGGAAGGGGGACACTTGAGGACCAGGGCTGGGAGACACTGGTGCAGACTCTCCTGAAGGTAAAATCAAAGATGGTGGACAGTCTGATTGGCTCTTTAACGTTCGCTTTTTCTTCCGCCAGATTGTTTCTTTCCAGGAGTGCAGGCAGAATGTATTTTATCCCTATCTTGAACATGCTCCCTACACTCTACTTTAGGAATGTGTTTTCCCAGGTGTTTATGCTCTATGACTAGAACAGTCTGTGCTTAATTGTGAGCTTCAGACACTACGGCATCCAATTGTTTCCCACTTTGATACCCAGGCTTAAGCAATCAATTTACTTCTGTGGTTTAAAAGGTGTAATTAGAAATCATAAAATAAGCTGCTTTTCCAAATGTATGGACTGCCCCTGGATGTTGTTTAGATTTAGTTTTCAAGTAAGTTTTTCTTAAAAACCTTCGATGAAATATAAGCTGTAAGTATTGACGTCTTCTTAAAAAACCTTAGTTTGACTTGATTTAGCTGGAAAATAGCTATAACCAAAAATCCACTCTGACTTAATTAAAAACATATCAGGGACAAATAAATATCAGGAAACCCACTCTGGAGTAAAACGAGTCAAGGGTGGCTTCTGAGACCTTTTTAGAGACGTTTTAGACTTTTAGAAAGAAAAAGAAAGGGGCGGCAGCCATTTTTAATCTTTGGCTTCTCCGTAAAATCTTGATTTGAAATTAGGAGCACGTCTGTTATTAAGTCTTCTCCTCCAGGGCCAGTTGTTTTGAATGTTCCCAGCTTCTACACACCTGGTCAGGTGTGTAATACAGCGGCCCAAAGAGGAGCAGAGTGTTAGATTCCTGCTTTATTTTGTCCATTGGAGCTCAGATTTTGACCACGAGATGGACAGGAGCCCCCTAACTGTTAATGCCTTTAATCGGTTTCATTCTGAGAACATTAGAGTTATATTTAGGAAATGGAAGTTGGGAGATTATGTCAGATTTTAAGCAACCCACCAGCCATCTCTGCACAAAAGACTTTTTCAATGAGGAGACACACCTTCCACTTTGCTCTAAATTCAGAACAAAGATGCTGTAAACAAAGACATCTGAAGCCCGTTGGTTTTTTATGTTATCCCACTCTTAGCCCATTCCTCCTGCATGCTTTCAGGGATTCAGGAGAACCGGCCCGGCAAGGCGACCAGCAGCCGGAGGATCTGCGCCCGCTGGCAGCTGCTCTACACGCTGGTGAAGAACCCCTCTCTGCTGGGCTCCAGGAAGCACTTCCAGACCCTGCAGAGCTCAGGAAGCGTCCTGAACGGCACCCCCAACCGCACCACCAAGAAGGGCAGCGTGAGGGAGGCCGGGGAGCCGGCGGCCGAGCCGGTCCAAGCCCCAGAAACCCCAGCAGGCCAAGAAAAAACCGAATGAAAGCCCTCTTCTACACCATGAACAAACAAGCAGAGTGTTCGATGTGTGTTCTGCCACATGCTGCTTTGATTTAGAAACTATTTATAGCTGAAAACCTCATTTAACCTTGTGAGTCTATCACTCAAATATCCATTTCTGCTGTATCTGCTCATTTTCACCTTTTGAGGCGCTTCATATACGCTGATACTCCAAGTGAAAACGCACAGAGTGAGCTCTGAATGAAGAATGAAAACTTGTATTGGACTTTGTGACAAAAAAAATCAGGCTTCCAAGCTGGAAATGTGGACTTTTCTATGTGTTAAACAGCAATGGGGGAATTAGCGTGATGCTGCGTTTGAGGACCAGTGAAACGTTTTGTAAATCACAAAGCTCCCCATGAACAAGACAGAGGTGTGTTACACAGGAAAAACAATGTAAATGTGTGTGCTATTATTTCTGTGCATGGCTTAAATGGTTTCATTGGTAAAAATAAATAAAATAAATAAAATGTGCAACTCTCTAAGATGGTTGCTGATGTCTTTCCTCCTTGGCTTTCTGCACAGCTTCTTTTTTATCATTAAAAGACATTTGTGAAATATCTAATGTGTCTTTTAAGGTTGTATCCGTCTCATTTTAAGACCCAGTAAGAATCAGATCACATGATAGGCTGACAGCTGTCCTTTGGTAAGCCTGTATTGATGAGCACACACAGACAGTTGTGATCAATACCAGCATCGATCAATAGGATCTATCGGATTATCTTTGCCCTCATTGGCCATGTCAGCACAAACTAGATCACATGTTTTTTTTACAGTGCTCAATGCTTCAATGCAACATGAGAGGATTTTTTAGTTTTAACTTGCTGCTGTGCTGCAAAAGAAAAAAGAAATCCAAACCATGGGTTTATGGTTTTGTTAGAAATGTGGATGTGGATCACTATCTGCATCTCATCTTTGTGATGATTATTAGATACAGGAGTATTTAACACTTAGAAGTCAAATCCCAATTATGCTGTTTTATTCCCTTGTTTCTAGGGTGAACAAATAAATTGTTTTACTAAATTTGAAATGAGACGTGTTTTTAAAATGTCATTTTATAGCATTAACTTATGAAAACGTTTCATTAAATTAGTTTTTTAATAAAAGTTTGGCACCTTCTCCCATAAATGTGTTGCAAATAGTGTATAACGTGTAAATATGATTAAATATTGCTTTTTATTACTATGATTCATGGAGATAGTTTTTCATTCGGGATGGCTTAAATGGTCATGATGAAATTGGAAACAAAAATAAAAGAAATAAACAAACACAATTATTTGTTTTTCTTCTCTTTAAACTTTATTGAGGCACATGGGAAACACTTTGGTAAAACATCTATTTTCTTTCTATCCGGGGTACAAAACAGAGAGAAACATTGACTGAGGGTTGTTATTTGAGTGGAGAATATTTATGAAGGAGCAACGACTGGCAGCATGCAGGTCCTAAAAACACACCACGGTGGACAAAAGACACTTGGAGTAGACTTGATTTTGCTGTGAATTTTTGAAGAATTTGCACACGTCACCTCCACGTTAGGGTTTGTTTACAACACTCATTTTTTCTGTACTGAGCACAGTTTTATTCACAGGAAGGTTTTACAGTACTACTGGACTAACAGCGTGACGTACAGCTCATATTAGCAGAACACAGTACTTTTAAGTGGTCAACATTTTAAACAACATTTATTCCTATGTGAAATTTAAGCCTTTGTTTTATAAGCAACTGCTATCCAAATACAGGGTGAGTCATATAAGAAGTCCCTTTATTTCAGAAATGAGAGGGAAATTGACATATACAGGGCATAAGACGGGAAGTGTCTATTTTGTATAATCTGATTTGCAAAATATCTTGTGGTAAAGTCATCAAAAACAGAAAAGTGCAACAACAACTTGAAATTTTAACCTGTTTTTGATGTGTCACATCACAAGAAATTTCCCAGCTGATGTTGTACATTTGTGCATTGATAACTTTTTAACCAAAAGAGATATTTCAAATCTGATTGCTGAAATTGATTTCTGAGATTAGTTTGGTCTTCTTTGATATGCTACATGACAACCCACCGTTCAGAAAGATTTTAGCTCGATCCAATATGGCGGCTCCCAAGATGGCGGCCATGTTCCAGATACAGCCTTAAATATAGCCCCAGCCACCCATTCTGGCTGGGGTATTTCTGAAATAAAAGTTTGTCCAGAGACTTTTGACTGAGCCTGTGGCCTCTTCTGGTCTTTTGCTCAAACTTTAGATTTGACTGCTTTGCATAAGACCCTCATAGATTTAAAGTGTTAAAAAGGTGGTAATTGGGATGTTTAAAACGTCCTGTGTTGTTTGTGAATGTGGATGTGATGACAAGAATGGTGTTTACATAACCGGATCACAGAGACTGACACAAACTACGAGTTCACTGACATTTTGAATGCACTTTTTGTTGATGTGATATACTTTATAGTTTAAAAGATGCTGTGTTAAAGGGTACATATCACTCTTGGTATTTATCTAGAAAGACTTCTTTTTGTTCTGTACCCTAGTTGAATAATAGGCATAATGCAATATCATGATCAAATGTAATACCTGTATTGATCTAAGCTTCAAGGGTTGCACAAAAATGCTCAAAGTCTTTAATCACTGTTGCAAATATAACTTTTTTCTGTTTTCTAATAATACTCATCACAAGCCAGCTTGGGATAAAAAGACAGCATCCAAAGTTAACATATCAGATTTCTATCATCAGATTGTCCTTTCTAACACGAAGGCTAAAATTAAATGACTTGTAATCCAAGTTAAGTGAAAAAAAACCCAGCTTTTATGATCGTTTTGGTTGCAGTGACACTGCAATAAGATTATATTTTATCCCTAAATATGATGTTTCTACTTCCCTAAACATTCAGTTTTGATTTCTTGCTCAAACTCAGTGAATTTATCATCTTTACTCTATTGACCTTCGAGTAAAAGATGTCTAATTTGCTTAAACATTTTCAACTTTTTCTCCTTTCTTTCTCCACTGTGCTATGCTTATGTGATACTGAAGCTAAGCTATTCAAAGCGATAACAAATTTAACCCTGTATTACGACACTACTGTTTTTCACACGCAGACAAATGTTCAGTTTGCACGTTTTCTTAAAAAAAAACGGTTGTACTTCGAGCAGGAGCTGACTTTAGCCATCGACTTGTTTTATGGTATCAGAGAAAATAAGGCATTTCTAGTTTGTTTTCAATCAGAAAACATCATAATAGGGAATGACTTTTGATTTATCTAAGCAAAAACAAAGCAGAAGACAACTCTTTACATTTGATTTGAGATATTCTGAAATGCTATATTCTGGACTGTGATGCATGCAAGTTGTCTGAAACATTCTTTATCTAAGGAAGTGATAAAAACCTATTCAAAGGACATCCATAAAACAGAGTTTCAGTCAGAAACTAAAACAAAGGGACAGCATCTTCTGCATTTGTCTGTATGAGAATCACTATTGGCTTGAATTATTGCACTTGGGTAGATATATTCCATGATTGTCTATCACTATGAAAGCTGCAGTATAACTGGGAACACGAATCATGACAAACTCTTCTTAGTTTCCGCTGTTATAACAAGACAAATTGGAAAGAACATCCTGCGTTTAACATTTTCTACTCAAGATTTAAATTTTTGGTGATCACTTATCAACATAAAGCCATAACTGCAGAGAAATGGCACATGAAAAGTGGCAGGTTGGTGTGATATCTACACAGAAAGCCGTCAGATTCTAAAATCTAATCAAAGTCTTTTGCCAGGCGAGTGCTGCCCTCAGCTTTTGCGATAATCTTATTGTCTTCTGGCTGTTGAGGCTCTCCGTAAGAGGGAAAATAAGCATGTTTCCAATACGCCAAACACTTTTCCTGTAATTAAGAAGCAGCTCATACATTGAGGGTGAGTCAGCTTTTCTCACTTTGAAATAACCAGGGGAATTTAGCCAATGTTTTAGCTGTTTTTTTGCCCTGCATGATGTTTTCAGATGTAACACTTTGGTCATGAAAACAAATCTTTGAAGTGAGCGCAAATGCAAATGCAAAACCAACTCATATTAACACTTTACGCCATAAAGCCATTAGGCCATAAAGCCATGAAGCAAAATCTGATGTTTCAGGGCTGGAAACTATGAGCCCCCCAGTCTGCAGGCCGGCTGAGATCAGCACACTTCAAGACAGTTTAAGGTTAACAAGCATCCTGGTTTTGCTCTAATTTGTTTATCTGCGTTTCTTAAGCCGACCACCCACCTCTAACGGTATCTCTCTGGAAGTCCCGATATAGCGTTTCAAGCCGCATCTGTTTCAACTCCCTCCTCAACATTTGTCTGGAAAATGTCCACCCGTGATCAATTAGGCCTGGTGCCTGCCCCCAACCCCATCCAGTCACTCATCCCGTCGCCGTGTTCTGATGAGAGTCAAATCAGTGCGAAGCTAAAGAGAAACTTAAACAACCGGCTGAGATGGAGAACACAAACCCCCTCCGAGCCCAACGAGAATGGAGGCTGCAGGTTACTGATTTGGGTATTTGTAGTTGCTTATGATATTTACGGCTTCGGCTCCTAACGGCAAGCGGTCGCTGTACTCTGAGCCCATCTCACAGTCGTCTGAGTTCCCCCTGCACTGGGACAGGGCGTAGGACTCGGTCACCACGCTCTCCTCCGTGTCCGGCTCCTTCCCCCCCTCCTCCACGCTCTCCCCGTCCTCCTCGTCCAGCTGGCTGCCATTGATCCTCCTCTGGGACTCGGTGTGGGGGGCGTGCATCTTCAGGTTGGCAGCCAGGTTCCTCTCCATGTGGTACTGGTCCTTGGCCTTCAGGATCAGCTTGTAGGTCTTGCTGCGGTACTTGTACGCCAGGTGGAAGCAGGTGGCGCCCAGCAGGGGCACGGTGGACACCGTGAGGAGGCAGATGCTGACCGAGACGATGATGAGCAGGTTGGGGACCCTCCTCCGGGTGGCGAACAGCACCTGGACCTCGCAGTCCTCGCCCCTGTAGGTCAGGCACAGCGAGTAGTTGGTGCTGGGCCGCAGGCCGCCGAACCGGTAGGTGTCCACGCCCTCCCTGATCCTGGTCCACTGCACGGCCGAGTGCCTGCTGTCGGCCGCCATGCACAGGTACAGGCCGTTTGAGTGGGCCTCGGGGGGGCTGTCGGGCTCCTCGCGCCGGCCCCTGGGCATGAGGAGGGGGTTGAGCCGCACCGAAACCTCTGTTTCCGACACCCCCAACGCGATGACGCCAAAGTCAAAGGTGTACTCCCTGACCTCCTCCAGGCTCCGGTTTAAGGCTTCACTCGAGATGTTTTTCGTGTTAGCCGTCAGGCCGCACTTGCTCGGAGGGGGCAGATACCTCGCCGCGTCCTCCTGAGACTCGGAACTGACGTCGGCAGTCGGGGGGGAAGTGGGCATCGCGGTCGGGGTGTCGCTTATCTCTAAATCAGGGAGAAGCGCTGATTTGAAAGGGGAAGTTTTTTCGGGGTTTTGCGGTGTGAAGGGCTTGGTTCTGGGGGAGGCCGAAGCCGTGGTGGTCTGCTCTGTGGGGGTCGGTTTGGGCGTCGCCACCACCTCCACAAACACCGAGTCCTCGGCGGTACCGAACTCGTTGGTGGCGGAGCAGCTGTAGTTTCCGCTGTCTTCCCTCCTGACGGTGGGAATGAGAAGGGTTCCGTTCTTGAAGGCCTTGACGGACGTGGGCAGATCCTCGGTGGAGTCTGCAGAGCCGTCCTCCGCTGACGACAAATCCAGCTCCTGTCTCTGAGCGCCGCTGCGAATGCTCCACGCGATCTGCGGCTTCGGGTTTCCCTCGAACTCACACGTCAAGACCAGCCTGGTGTCCTCATGCAAAGCCTCTCCTCGGAGGTCTGGCTCGAATCGCACCGTGACGTTCGGCCCCGCGCACTTCGACTCCGGCAGGGCGGAGAGGGCCTTTCCTTTGAGCTCCTCGGGGCTCGCACAGGTGATCAAACGGGGCTCCGAAACCGAGATGGTGGCTGTCAAAAGCCAGTCCCTGAGCCAGTCCAGGGAGCAGGTGCACCCGAACGGATTGTTGTGGATCTGAAGGTGCGTCAGAGACACCAGGCCGTCGAAGGTCCCCTCGGCTAGAGCCACGAACCTGTTGCTGTTGAGTCTGATGGAGCTCAGGTCTTTGAGGTTGGAGAAGGCGTCCCTGGGGAGACTCTCCATCTGGTTGTGGTTCATCTTGAGAAGCTGCAGGGCCGTGAGGTTCTGCAGGTCCTCCCAGGGGAAGTCCACAAGCCTGTTGTGGCTGAGGTCCAGATTCCGGAGGTGGACCAGAGGCAGAAGGCTGCCTTGCTCGACGGACACGATCTCGTTGTGGGCCATCCACAGCGAGGTGACCTGGGTGACGTTGTCGAAGCTGCCCAGCGGGATGAAGGCGATCTGGTTGACGGTGAGGCTCACGGTGGTGACATTGGGAGGGAGGCCTTCCGGGACTTGGGCTAGATGTTTGTAGGAGCATTCGGCAAAGTCCCGGCCGTATTTGTCGGAGCAGGTGCAGAGCTCAGGACAGCAGAGGGCAGACGTGAAGACGGCGGCGCTCCACAAAGTCACGAGGAGGATGTCTGAAGCCGCCATTTCTGCTCCTGGAAGAGAGGATGTTCTCGTTAGCACAAGTAAAGATAACATTAAACTAAAGGAAACAGAAGGAGGCATTAAGTTGAGGCCCTGAAGGGGATTAGATGTTTTTTTAGATGTTTTTAATAAAATCTTAAGGCTGAAAGTATCGTGGCTTAACATTTCCAGAATAGAAGTAAACACAAACAGGGTGTTAAAGGAGATTTGGGACATCAGATAGTGTCATTATCTTTCAACAAAAAGACAAAAATGGATAAGCAAACCGTTATTTAATAGTATAATTTCCGGTAAACCAAAAAAAAGATCTTCATCAATCATTGAAGATAGAAATCTGGGAAAAGAGTATTCTCAGTTTAGTCATGATTTTTTATTGAAACCAATTTGAACCATTTTTATTTGGACGTTTTATGAAAAAACTGTATCCTCACTAATGTAGGTAACAAAAGCCTTCCCCATCAGTGCTACACTCAGTTTGTTTTTAAATGTTTACCAGACTGTTTGGCTATGCTTAAGCAAAAATTATATATATTTATTGCTTTCTGCTGCTCCACAAATAGACAACTGTCCTGAAATGATACCATTAGGTTGACTATCATTTAAAAAATATGACTTGATGTGGAGTAGTATCACAGGTAATCAATCAATAAATAAATATATAAACTTGAATAAATTTTTCCCCTTAAATCCAGGACCGTATTTAAAGTGAATATGTCTAGTTTTGGTTGTTGCTTCAGAAGCTTGAAGCCACATTAAATTAAACTGACTGTATTTACATAAAAAGATTGAGAGTGGCCGATTTTTATCCCATTTATGGCTCCGGATATTTAGTCGTCTGGGTCACTCTTGATAATATGTTTCTAAAAGACATTTCACCCTTTCTGTATGAGAAATATTATGAATAAAACATTCAAACAAAAGAAAAAATAGACCCAACAGTGCAGAAAAGCAGCTAGTGTCAAGCAGTTTGTATTCCTTATCAATTTCAGCATGATTTCTTCATTTTATTTAGTGTAAAATTAAATCAGAAATATATTTCTGGTTTCTGGTCTTAAAAAATTATTTTTAAAGTAGGATTCTTTTCTCTTGTTCTGACTTACAAGGTGGATTTAGGAGTTGATTTCGTCTAAAAATAGCATACAGAAGGCTATTCTCTCTCTGAGGTGTCTTCCAAAGGGATGCCTTTAAATGACACCCGCTAATGGTCCCCGTTTCGGGGGGAACTGGTGAAACTGGGAGCTGCTCCTGACATCAGCTCCTGCCTCCAAACTGCGCAGCAGCCTCTGTCCTTGGTGCTGAAAGTCACGTCTCTTCCGTCTGCCTCCAGATTTGCGCAAAAACGCGCGCAGGAACGCGCTCTGGTCCGGGGCTAAGGCGCAAAAATCACGTCTGCCAGTGTGACCAATGGCACACAAAAACACAAAAAAAAACACAAAAAAACCCAAGTTCAAGGCAGGGTCGCGCACGAAAACGTGAAGATCCCACACCGGTGCGTTAGTGGGTTAGAGCCGGTGATCTTACCTTCGTTTGAAATGATGTTTTCCTGTGGGTGAAGGTGTTTGCAGACCGGGACTACACGCCTGTTGGAAGTTTGGAGACGAGCTCCTGCGTCAGCGCGTGTGCATCCATGACGAAAACACGCGTGCCCGTGGACGCCTCCCTGCTGATGATGTGAACTCGAAGAAGGGATTTTGGTCGTGCGCTTCCTCTGCTGCTCCCTCCCAGCTGTGCACGCAATCACCACCACCTTTCCCGGAGATATTTAAAGGGGAAACGGCCTTAAACGTTGCCTGGTTTGCATGGCATGACTCATGGCTTAAAACAGACACATTTCAACCGGATCAAAATGAACCAAAGTTCCTCCGAATGAGGTTTTCGAAGAAATTTCCTTTTAAAAAGGCAGCTATTTCTGAATATAGTAGCATGCTAAAGTTTGGAAATCCTTTGTTGAATGTTGCTAAGAGCAATTGTGAGGGGAAATGATCCCTTTAAAGCTTAAAAAAAGAAAATAGAAGTTTCTATTTGGCCAAAAAAATAAACAAAATGAACAAAAATCACTTATATGTTTACCATTTATAAGTCATAGTGTTGTAGTGTAGTTTTCTGCCCACTATCCAATATTTTTTTTTAGTTTTGAGCAAAGTTTTAACCATAAAGTGATGTAAAAGAAGTGTCTATTTGGCCCAAAAAATAAACAAAATGAACAAAAATCACTTTTGTATGTTTACCATTTATAAGTCATAGTGTATCCAATAGTTTTTTTTAGTTTTGAGCAAAGTTTTAACCATAAAGTGATGCAAAAAGGTCTCAGCTGCTTTATAGGGTTAAACTCCCCAGTTTCTTACGTAAGATTAGTTTAGTTTTCTGCACACTTTTGCAGTGGAAAAAAGATAAGAGTGATCTAATCTGTTTTCTTAGAGCTGAGCTGACTTGGCGATGAGTTTCGAAACGTTCCCCCCATAATCAACAACCACAAAATTCAACAAAGCAGGAACACGCTGTAAAGAGATAAGGCGGCCTTTCCCTGAAGGTTTTATCAGGAGGAGCAGAGGCACAAGAAGTATCCCAGATGTGAACTAAGGCCTTAAAGTTGTAGGTTTTGGGGAGAGAAGAAATGGATGTTAAACCATTGGGTAGAAACATAAATATCCCAACGTCTATAAAACCATCTAGAACCACATCAGAATAGCTAAAGAGAATAAAAGTGACCTGACCCAAACAGACCTCACAGGAGCAGCAGATGCCAAAATAAATAAATACGTCAAATTATAAGATTTCAGATTTGATGCCATTTGGAAAATGGGTCATCTGAATACTCGCCAAGCTCTTTAGTTTAAATATTTTATCTGGATCTTTAGCATCTAAACTCTCACTAGACTATTGAATTTGCTTAAACACTAAACCTGACAAAAACAACAATTCTTTTTCTCCTATTGTTTACTTGTTTTTGTCTCAACTTCACAGTCCAAAAGTTCTTCAAACTCCACACTTCCCCTTTTTCACTGGAATAGAAAAGGATCCAAATGTTGTTTTTTCCTGTAGGTAACATGCTTCCCACAAACAGCCTTTTATCTTAGTCCAGTCTTGTTCTCTCTGACTGGGCTCCAGTATGGGTCAATACTTTCTGACCCCGCTGTCTCAGGCTGACGTTTGGACCCTCTGACTGGGATTATCAGGTCCTTTCTGGGAGCAAATGTATGCAAAATAAAGTTTGAGTAGATATTGGGTGAAACGTTTACAGTTCCAGCGTTGCTGATGCCAGAGTTCTGACCAGAACCAGGAACCAGGACCACATCAGTCCAGTTCAGAACCAGGAACCAGGACCACATCAGTCAAGGTCTCAGGTCTCGGCTCTGGCTTCCTGTAGCTCAGAGAACAGACTCTAAAACAGCTCTGCTTGTGTTCCAGTCTCTTCATGGGCATCGAAACACCTTCCTGACCTGTTAGAGCCAAATAAGCCAGCTGGACTCTAAGAACCAGGTTCTGGTCTCCTGATGGGGCCCAGAGTCAGAACTAAACCACGTTCTGGTCTCCTGATGGGGCCCAGAGTCAGAACTAAACCAGGTTCTGGTCTCCCGATGGGGCCCAGTGTACGAACTAAACCAGGTTCTGGTCTCTAATGGGGCCCAGAGTCAGAACTAAACCAGGTTCTGGTCTCTAATGGGGCCCAGAGTCAGAACTAAACCAGGTTCTGGTCTCCCGATGGGGCCCAGAGTCAGAACTAAACCATGTTCTGGTCTCTAATGGGGCCCAGAGTCAGAACTAAACCAGGTTCTGGTCTCACTATGGGGCCCAGAGTCAGAACTAAACCAGGTTCTGGTCTC